ACCAGCACCCTGCACAGAAGGTGCACGTGACTCCTGACTCGCATGGGCTGGGGTGTTCACAGAGACAGAACCACAACGCTCACGACGTCCTCCACCTTCAGCATAGGATTTATCAAGCTGTGAGGCGTCAAGAATGGTCAAAAGAAGCCCCCCCAAGCCCCCACGGGATCCAATGAAATGCAAAAGGCAACAGCAGTCCTGCAGGTACGATGCCTCATCATCGGCCAGGAAACTGGGCATCGGAAGGATAGTCCCGGCTTCCAACACCCCACCTACAAAGCCTGCATGAATTCGCATAAGAACACAAAGGAGCCAGAACCGTTTGTGTCCATATCCGACATTCGACATAGTGACATAGTGCCTTGGAATCTCTCCTCCAGGGCCAAGGCACACGCGGACTTGCAGATCACCCTCTCCAAAGGCGAAGGGCAGCGAGAGACAGGGCCACTCCTGTATCGAGTGGATCTTGTCCTGGTACCTGGGCCGGTGCATCAACTGGGCAGAACGGAATCCGGAAGTCGCACCTGTCGCAAAACACCTTCTGCCTGGCTTCCAACAGCTCTTGCTCGCATGAATACTCTTGCTTGCTTGCTTGCCTGACATTTGGGAAGTGGGCCACGGGTCCCCCACTCGCTGCGCGCTGCATTCATGCTCTCTCTTCGCTTCGCTTCGCTTCGCTTCTGCTGGGGATGAGTCCGTCACGGACCGAGCCAAGGCGCCCCCTTCCCCGACTAGGCGGCGGAAGAGGCTTCAAGGTCCGCGTGCTGTCTGTCGGAGGAGCCCCTATTCGGGGCGGAAGGAAGCGTTCCCCAAAATGCACAATTAATGACCCGGCCCCCCAAACCCGGAGCTCTCTCTCTTCTTCCTCGGCTAGTCAGGCACCCCGGGCGCTATGGCCCACTTTTTGCGGGCTTTGTAGAGGGGAGTGAAGGCTTGATGGTCTTGTGACCGAAAAGGCAGAACTTGGCTATTAGAGTTATGTGTTTCGGTCTTCCCCCATCGTGACTTGACATTCGAATTTTGCATAGTGAGATTGCTTGGTTGCTTTGGAAGGGGTGTGGGCCCTCGAAAGGACCCTGGCCCGAAGGCCTACCCCCACAACGGTCCGCGAGCTCCAAGGTCTGCAAGGCCCCTTTTAGGGGGGTGAGAGAAAGGCTCGTTCCCCCACCTGTGCTTAGATACCCATCCCAAAACAACCCTCTCTCTCTCTCTCTCTCTCTCTCTCTCTCTCTCTCTCTTTCTTCTCGCAGGCTTTATGGGCGAATAAGGCCCCCCGTGCTATGTCTCTTTTCCTTCCCCAGGCCTGAGGGCCCCCGCTGGAGCTGCCCGACTGTTGGTTGTACGCACGGTATTACGTGCGACAGCGTTTCGTCACCCCGTGGGCGGAGCTTGCACTACAGGTCGACACAACGAAAGTTCACAACATGTCACTACTTTCTGAAATAGCCTTTCGGAACAGATATAGCTCACTAGACTGTTGCTCTCGCCCCGCTGCTGTGGTGCCGGGGCTATTCCTCGGCTGACTGTGCTCTGCGGCAGTCAGGTTGTTTGCAGCTTCGGGGTGTCTACAGCTTCCTGTAGGCATCGGTGCCCCTAAGCAACAGTAGGAAACAAGGTACTACACCACGGTTAATGTGTAGCCCGGTGCCCAGGAAGTGCGCTGGCCCAAACAACCGAGTGGTGTGCATCACAGTATGCAGGGCTTTCAGTGGGCCAGTAGACCCGGGGTGGCTTCACAAAAGGTGTCACAGATAGCACTCTCTCTCTTCTTCGTCAGGGCTCTCTCTCTCTCTCTTTCTTTCGCCAGGCTAGAGGGGCAAGCCCCCGCCCATGGGGGCCGCCCGATGTTGGCGGTGCGCATGGTATTACATGCGACGGACTAGAGTTACTGGCACCTCCTTCTTCAGCACCACAGATGTCTTCAGAGGTGTACAACTAGTGTGTAACTAGTGGGTGCTCCGGTAACTCGCGAGTGGCCTGGAGACGGGTTTTCTGCCCCGGTGCTCGCTCTCTCTCTCTCTCTCGCTCTCTCTCTCTCTCTCTCTCTCTCTCTCTCTCTCTACCGGGCGTGAAGACAGAGCAGCTCGCTCTCTCTCTCTCTCTCTCTCTCTCTCGCGCTCGCGGTCTTGAGAAACATCGACAAAAGCAAGATTAACAACCTTCTGAGGTTCTGTCGCTGCTTGACCGGCAGGCAAGGATGAACAAGGGCGGAGACGGCCACACTAGTCCGGGTTCTGTCCCCATTGTCGATTCCCAAACAAGCAAAAGCATTCCTGGAACTCACCAAACGTGGCTTCGCATCCAGCTGGGCCACTCCACCTCTGCAAAGGGAAGGCCTTCCTCTCCGACCAGGCCTTGAGCTGAGCAAGGAGTTCAAATCATGTTCCAAGTTCCGATCTTCCCGGACTTCTCCCAGCCAAGATGCGAGGGCGGCACAAGGTCAGCGTGCAGGGAAAAACGGCTTCCTCTTCTGCCTTGGGTTTGGTCTGCGCCATCTTCAGCAGCACTTGCAGGCTCTCGGCACTTGCTCTACCGGCTGAAGACAGCATGACGGAAGCTCTTTTCGACTAGTACGGTGCTTATTGAATCTTCGACAAGCGAGGCCGGGCTGTGCCGGATGCATTGCTTCCCGGAGATTACGCTCGATTAAAGGGAAAAGGCAAATGCCGAAATTTTGGGGAATGCTGTGCACCTTGGTTTCACTCGCACCACTGACACTCACAGCTTCACGAGGACCTGACAACTGATCGCAACCGAAGGCACGAGATGGCTGGTGAACTCAGCCGGGCACACATCCGCAGACATCAGCGATTCACGGCAGCGTATGTCAGCATGCGATCCAAAGCGTACGGGAATGTCCCAACGGTTGGGAGAGGTTGCAAGAGGGCCAATTAAGTTACCTGTATCACACAAAAAACTGGCATAAGAACTCATCAGTCTTGGCACAGGTCTGCTGCGACTGACGGGATTGGCCGTTGGGAGGATCGACTTGCACTCGTTTACAACGCTGGCTAGCCGGGCTGTTGAGCCACAGCAACTGCAGGCGTTGCTTGATCACCCGGTTCAAGCACTGCGAACCTTCCAATTCCGGGCAACGGTGTGCGATTAGCCGACACATTCATCAGCATCGCCGAATTACCGAATTGCTTCTGGATACTTCTGTCTTCTGCACCGGAGCAACCCCGGGCCCCTTTGCAGCAGGTTCGGGAGGTCCGGCCCCAGGCTTGGAGGCCTCTCCAAGCGCTCGACCCGCTGATCCAGCTTCATCAGCTTGGCCTCGCCAGGAACGCTGAGGGGGCGGGAGGCCGGGAGGCCGGGAGGGGAAATCCCGAGCCGAAGCACGATTTCCTCGTGCAAAACTCACTGGAGAAAAGCGTTTCGTAGCACGAGGCGTGGGCGTGTCCTGGCCTCGGCTTTGGTCGCGAAAGCTTCCAAGAAGCTGCCCGTCTCCGTCACGAAACGGTTCACCTCCGCTGAAGCCATTTCGACCATCTCGCACGCATTGTCAAGCCTCTCTTTGACCGGGATTCCGGCCATTCCAGCAAGCACCTTTGGGTCGATTCGCTGGACCGTAACCTTTCAGCTGGGGGAATGCTCTATGTCGACCCCTAGTGAATCTCAAAAACAATGTCGAGAACGATTCTTGATGCACAACATGCAACACATATTGTGTCAAAGCCAAGCAGGCCGCCTTAGGGGCCTGCGTTTCAAGTCCAAGGCACATTGCCGCCCGCACTGTCCGGCGGAGCCATGTGGTGCTCGCTGGCGAAAGCCCGTTTCCGGATGTCTGAATGAGATTTTATGAAGTCTTCGGAGATTACACGGTCGTTCGCCAACGAGTCCTTCCTACAGGCATGCCTATCGGTCGCCTACGGTGGGGCCGAAGCCCAGGCTAGGAGGCTGGGGATGCACAGCTTACGTAAGGTTTACAAGCATCCTGCTGCAAAGCCGGAGTCTACGTCATTGTAGCCGTATCAGTATAAAGACAAGCGGTTTGGGTGTATTGGACCTTGCAGTAAGCAGGGTGCACTCCACAGATCATGATGTGACATGTCTGGGCGAAGAACCAGCGATTTTCTCGGATCCAGCTCTACCTGAAAATCTAAGACTTCAATGCTGCAGGACCCCTCCCAAGCCCACATTTATCTTGGGAGATGCTGAAGTAGTAGGGGCTGGCCTGGTTCTTTCTCCAGGGCACTAAACAAGCGTGTGAGCATCATCGAAGCAGACTTACATTGGGACCCCCTTGCGGACGGATGCGTTTTGCTCTCAGGGCGTTAGCAGCATGGTCTCCTAAGGCATCCAGATGCAACTGAGACTGGCATCTACCATTTACACTTCGAGGTCCAATTGCGACACTTACACTTCGACGAACTTCGATTGAAACCAGTGATCACGGTACTTCGTGCAACCGAACTGGTGCACAAAGGAGCTGCTGCAATCCTCGGAGCATATATGCCAAGGCACCGACGAGCAAAACTATGACCGGCATGAGTCGGCTCAATGCCCTCGCCCAATCTGGATATACAGTGTCATACCAAAAGCAAGGATAAAAGACGCTTCCAGGCAGGGACTGACGAAGAGATCCTTCCCAGAGCGCAGTCGTCAGCTTGCGAACTCGGTGTTCTCGGGGCCGTCGTTGCAAAAAGCAGAGGTGCGACACATCAAAAGCCGTAAAATCGGTTGCAGAGGGAGGAACTCCGAAGTTTCGGAGCAGCCTTCCCGCAACGCGACCCAGGGCGAGGAAATGCGGGTTGTAAAAACCATGCGTTTCTGTGCCCGAGCCTCACCCGGCACGGAGGCTCCCCAAAATATGAAGGAGTCGTGCGCATAGTGGTTCGATAGCCCGTACCTGCCCAGTGGATCCTCAACCGAACCGGGCCTAACCAGACCTGGCTCATGCTCGAGCAAAATCACATCCCCACAGCCGTTTTCAAGGTGCCTTGCAGGCTTAAGGTTGAATTTTGGGAGTATTGAGTCCAGGTTTCCAGCGGCCTGCTTTAATAGAGCGAGAAGCCCAGGATGTCCAGCTCAGACTCGTCTTCTTTTTTCTTCTTTTTCTTTTTCTTCTTGGTGTCCTGGCATCATTTCTCTAGATTCGTAGACACTCCACCCCAGCTATCTCCCATACCAAAACTGCCTGGGGCGCAGCACGGTCGAACTTCCCTGTACCTCCCTGAACCCGCATGAATCTGAAGCTCAGCTTTCTCAGAAAGCCTCGCCAGGAAATTGAATGAACCTGCCACTCAACCCCTACTTGTCCTTCTCCTTCGACTCCTTCGCATCCTTGTCTTTTGCCTTCGCCGGGAGCCGGAAGCCACGCTGCGGCTGCAGCTCCAACTGCTCTGATAGGCCCAGCCTTGGACTCAAAGTGAAAACAGGACATAGCTCAGAGAGGCCTCCCGAAGCACCTTGCCCGTCCTGCAGCCAGGCAACGGATCGGTGGCAGTTGAGGCCACAGCTTTGGTGCCATCGGGCGCAGTACCGAAGAAGCCGAGAGGCTCAACTTTCACCTGACATGGGTTAGTTGGCCAATTGCCGGACATAAATCACACTGAACCCAACTACTTTCGGAAGTGTGAAGGAGAACATGTCATTCCCGAGCCGCGACAAGCCATGATGGCCGTGAGCATACACAGTCGATATCGCACCATTTTCGGTGAAAGTCTACTTCGGCAAGCATTTCGAATTGAGCTTCCTGCCCTGCCTGTAGCTGTGGCTCCTATGCTTCCTCATGTCGCTATCGTTTAACAAGACGCTGTTCGCAAACCTGGGCCCTTGCACGTGCTTCAACCCTGAATCCCAAAGTTGTTCAGGAAAACGCTCGCCTTGTCAGTGCTCTTGTCCCTGTCTTGCTCCCGGTCCTTGCCCTTGTCCCGGGATTTGTCAGTCTCTTTTGCCTTGAGCTTCTTTTCCTTGGATTCCCTTGCGGGAAGCCGGAAGCCACGCTGCGGTTGGAGCTCCAAGTTCTCGGAAAGCCCCAACCTCGCACGGTACATTGTCCGTTTGAAGCTGCAAAGTTTCTTGAAGTCCTGTTCTGAATCTGCTCAGTTCCCTGGAGCTTGTTACCTGCTAGGAGCCGTGGGCCGGCTTGTGATCTCGAAAGGTCACTGGCCTAAATGGACTCTCTTGATCAAGCAGCGGATCCGAAGATATCGAGACCACTGCTTTGGTGGGCGCTGGCGCAGCGCCCAAGAAACCCAAACTGGGTTCTGCATTCACCTTGCTGAAACGCTCTGCGATATGGAAACAACTTCCGCGATACTTGCGATCAAGCAGCTCGCACCTCAATCTCAACTTGAAACTACGCCTGGAACCATCGGCGTGGGACCCAAATAGAAACCTCTGCGTTTCAGAGCCGTGTGTCCCCGCCGCTGGTGGCAGCCTCCGGCTTTGGTCTGGACGTGTCCGTCTCCGGCCGGAGCGTCAACTGTTCGGAGAGTCCGAGCCTTGGGAAGAACGATAGCAGCTGCCGCTCCCTGGTGCTCTCTGCAAAGCACTCAGCAGGGTCAGTGTGCAAGACTGCGTTCTCAACTCTGGTGAGCCGTGCAGCAGCTTTTCTGCCGCATGCGACTTTTCGGCGAGTTACGGATCTGCCACGGCGGAGACCGCAGCGTTGGCAGCCTCCGGTGCCGCACCGAAGAAGCCGACAGCTGGCTCTGCCGTCGCCTGGCAAACAAATTTGATGAAGGATTTCAGAGCATCTTGTGCCGAGCTGCTGCAGGCATCACGGCGGTAGCTCCAAACAGGGCCTTGTCCTTCTTCGTACGCGCACTCTTGGGGGAAATGTTTCTTTTGACCAGAGACAATTCCAAAACCTCGTGCCATGAACGACGGTCTTGCAAGGACGACCCCAAGCAAAAGACATCCAATGCAGGAAACCTGCTTTCCATCTATTTTCTCTCATGATGTTGCTCGACGTACGTCAAGCAGCTCGCACCTCAATCTCAACTTGAAACTACGCCTGGAACCATCGGCGTGGGACCCAAATAGAAACCTCTGCGTTTCAGAGCCGTGTGTCCCCGCCGCTGGTGGCAGCCTCCGGCTTTGGTCTGGACGTGTCCGTCTCCGGCCGGAGCGTCAACTGTTCGGAGAGTCCGAGCCTTGGGAAGAACGATAGCAGCTGCCGCTCCCTGGTGCTCTCTGCAAAGCACTCAGCAGGGTCAGTGTGCAAGACTGCGTTCTCAACTCTGCTGAGCCGTGCAGAAGCTTTTCTGCCGCATGCGACTTTTCGGCGAGTTACGGATCTGCCACGGCGGAGACCGCAGCGTTGGCAGCCTCCGGTGCCGCACCGAAGAAGCCGACAGCTGGCTCTGCCGTCGCCTGGCAAACAAAGTTGATGAAGGATTTCAGAGCATCTTGTGCCGAGCTGCTGCAGGCATCACGGCGGTAGCTCCAAACAGGGCCTTGTCCTTCTTCGTACGCGCACTCTTGGGGGAAATGTTTCTTTTGACCAGAGACAATTCCAAAACCTCGTGCCATGAACGACGGTCTTGCAAGGACGACCCCAAGCAAAAGACATCCAATGCAGGAAACCTGCTTTCCATCTATTTTCTCTCATGATGTTGCTCGACGTACGTCAAGCAGCTCGCACCTCAATCTCAACTTGAAACTACGCCTGGAACCATCGGCGTGGGACCCAAATAGAAACCTCTGCGTTTCAGAGCCGTGTGTCCCCGCCGCTGGTGGCAGCCTCCGGCTTTGGTCTGGACGTGTCCGTCTCCGGCCGGAGCGTCAACTGTTCGGAGAGTCCGAGCCTTGGGAAGAACGATAGCAGCTGCCGCTCCCTGGTGCTCTCTGCAAAGCACTCAGCAGGGTCAGTGTGCAAGACTGCGTTCTCAACTCTGCTGAGCCGTGCAGCAGCTTTTCTGCCGCATGCGACTTTTCGGCGAGTCACGGATCTGCCACGGCGGAGACCGCAGCGTTGGCAGCCTCCGGTGCCGCACCGAAGAAGCCGACAGCTGGCTCTGCCGTCGCCTGGCAAACAAAGTTGATGAAGGATTTCAGAGCATCTTGTGCCGAGCTGCTGCAGGCATCACGGCGGTAGCTCCAAACAGGGCCTTGTCCTTCTTCGTACGCGCACTCTTTGGGGACATGTCTGGCTGGAGCGAGAAGCCCTGCCTTTGATGCTTTCAGCGAAATTCTGACGGAAGTATGCCGGAACAACAATCACCACCAAGTGGGCATTGCAAGTGAATGTCACGCCCTCAACCACTACCAAACCTCCCTCGAAACTAAGAAACTAATCTGGCTACATCAAAACCTTCAAAAATGGATCTAGGAAAGGAGGGAACTGACCGATGAGAGAGTTGAGTTGTGCAGCGAAGCAATTTACATGGGAAATGGGCATACCTCCAGGACATGTCCTGCAGGGTGGAGATAACATGAGGGCTGTCCTTTTTGACAGAGTCCACCGAAAACTCTCCAAGTCTAAGGAATGGTTTCTATTTTGTGCATGTACGTGTTTATGTAGATGTATATGTATATGCATATGTATATTTACATGTAAATGTACATGTATATGTAAATGCATGTGCATGTGCATGCGCATGTGTATGTGTATGTTTATATACATGTAAATGTGCATGCATACGTAAATGTATACGTACATGTATATGTACATGTATATGTACCGGTATATATAAGTATATATGTACATGTATATGTACATGTATAAACATGTGTATATATATATATATACATATATATACATATATATACATATATACATATATATATATATATATACATATATATATATATATATATATATACATATATATATATATACATATATATATATATTTAACTATATATGTATAAGTTTGTATGTGTGTATCTATATATGGGTAGGAAATCATTCCCCCTGCATTTCTGTAACTTCGCTCATCTGTTCTCCCTGGAAACATATCCGTAGGAGTCCCCGACCCAACCCATTTATCCAGTAACCCAATGATTTGCCCAAGTGGGGATCGTCTGCACAAAACCCACAAACACATTAACCAATTAACCAAATGATTGCCCAAGTGGGGATAGACTGCACAAACCGAATGATTTGCCCAAGTGGGAATGGACCCAACTCCCAAGTTCATTTGGCCAGAATGATTGGATTAATGGGTTAAAGGGTTGATGGGTTAATGCCTCCCAAGCTCATGTGGCCAGAATAACTGGGCTAGTTAAAGGGTTGATGGGTTAATGCCTCCCAAGCTAATGTGGCCAAAATGGTTGGGTTAACTGATTAATGGGTCGTTGGGTTAACGATTACTGCCTCCCAAGTACATTTGGCCAGAATGGTTGGGTCAATTGGTTGTGGGTCGTGGGTCGTATATTAACGGCGGGCGTGTGTTTCGAAACATGCCGCTTGTTCCGAAACACACACCCGCTTGAAAACCGCTGCAGGTCACTCGTCCTGTACCAGATCTTCCCGGCAGTGGGGTTTTGGAAGTGGATTGTTTGTAGTTGTGTGTTGTAGTAGCTAAATAAGACTGCCGCAAACCTCAACACAAATGGTGCCTGGCTATGGCTTGCTATGGCTGTGGGCAAGAACAAGGAGATCTACACGACCACGAGTCGCAAATCGCAAATCTCACGAGCTGCGGCCACTAGCAATCTACCTAGTTGAGCCAAATCGCTTCGTTTCTTACAAAACTACAAATTAGCACCGACATGGAAAAGCTAAAGCTACACTGGCAGGACAGAGTGCACATGCAGCACTGACATGTTGGAACGCTCACCATGTATTATGCATTATAATTGCACATATTATGCATATATTATACATATGCTACACATAACTTAAACATATATTATACACAGTTTGTACATTTACTCATATGTTTACACTTAACTACATATATACATATATTACGCACAAAAAAATATATACCTACATAAATATATACCTTTATACATGTATTCATACACTTCTTGTTTCTGTCACTTGCGGTTATATACATTCATTAAACCAATATCCAATATCTGTCGTTCCAAACAGTTCTATATAGTTCGATTTATAGTCCTATATAGCTGGCTCTGTATTGTTCTATATAGTCAGCTGGTTACATGTAGCTCTATATTTTTTTCATTCATTCAACACGCAGCGTCCAGGTTGAGGGACGCTTTGCGACCGCTAGCAGAGAGCAGGCGTTTGCCCGGCGAAGCTACACAAGTGAGAAACTGTGTGCACTCTCCAAGACTACAAAACAATTAATGGCACCCCGCCACGAATAGCAAAGCAGGTGCAAGCCCCTGTCACGCATGACAAAGCGAGGCATGAGTACATTATCTTAAAACACAGCAACTAGTGGCTTTTTAGCAGCACTGTACAAGCTACCACGGACATCTCAGGCGAACGGGGAAGCACAGGTGCAAAAGTGCAGTCAAGCTGGGTTGGATATTTTAACACGCAGTTGTGCCTCGAATGCAGTAATACTCGATCCGTGCAGAGCTTAGCACTTTGACCATCGTCACACACAAATTGTACCCAGCCAGACGATGTGGGGTGGAAGCTGTATGCACTCACAATCGTCTGATAGTGACCTGAAGTCACACGAGGGCCAGTATGCAAGATGACTGCCACAATGGTGTAGGGCTCCCATCGTATATCCAAGCCCTGTGCCGACTGAAAGACGGGCACCCGGATTGTGGCTCCAACCTGATAGTCAAAGTACTGCAGGGATTTACGGGCATTGCCATCAAGCTGAGAGTACCGCTTGATTCTCAGAAAGAGCATTGCAGGGGCCTGAAATAAAGCACGCTTGAAGTGCTGATTGTGCCAAGCTGTGATACCTTCCTGCAAACCATCTGGATGAATTACAAGTTCCATGGGCTCCAAGCATTGTCCTCGGTCGCCCACAAAGGTAAGTCTGCCAATGGTGTATCGGCTTTGCCAGCTGCCCTCGTAGGTCCGGGGCATCGCATGCTCCAAAAGAAATACCAGAAACTCTGCAGCATCCTGTTGCAGGTGAAGGTTCGGTCTCCACGCCTGTAGTAGCGACCTCCAGCCCGGGTGCTGCATAAGCCCAATTCGCTCGGAGCGAAGCAATGTGAGACACTGAGATTCGAGCTGGCCAAACGAATCAGAGCTGCAGGAGCCGGACCTGTAAACGCACCCATCCACAGAAAAGCAATGATCACGGAATTCGCATAGCAGAGCTGATGTGGATTTATAAGAGCAAGTCGAAGGACAGGCCTGGCCGCCGATTGCTCCATGGTGCTCAAATCGGCCCTGAAACTCGGTCGCCGCCGCCATCAAGGGATCCGCTGCCGGCGGGGCCGTCGCGGGCTCTGGGTGGGAATCGCGGCCCTTTCCTTTGCAGAAATGTGGACCGTTGCTCCTCTGTGCGTGTGGGAGGAGCTGGGTACCGCTCCTGGATGATGCGAACCAACGGCTGTCGCTCCATTCGGATGGGCTTCAGTCGCATCTTTAGCAGCTGGTTTGAAGAATTGTAGCAGAGGGCCTGCAGGCTTCGGTAGCATACCAGAGCCAGGGGGTCGCGGAGGCCGATGCCCAAGAAAAACGTCACCGCCGTCTGGCGTCGCTCCCACAAGCTTCCGCGAGCTGTGAAATCGAAGAAGCGCCCCGGGAGCCCCAATGCTCGTCTTCAGGGCCTGGAGGTGGCCTCGTAGCTCCGTGTCCAGAAGAGGAGGCTGGTTGGACCGGATCAGGGCCTCCTGTTGGTGGTCCCACTGCCGATAGGTCCAAGCGGGGTTCCCATCGTACCTGAATCAGCAGGCCTTGTTGGGCCAGGTTCTCCACCGACTCCACCGAGGCCGTTGCTTCCTGAACTTTGATCTCGTAGTACAGCAGCAAGCCGATAAACAAAGTAAGTCGTAAGGAGTTGCTGGCCTTGCCCTCCTCCTGCTCCCCGGGCATGGCAGACGCAACAGGTGCAGGGCTCGGACACTGCCATGTGGCAGGCCAGAGCTCGACTTCGTCAAGTACAACAACGACATTGCCGGGCACTCCGAGCATGCATGGAGGCTTTTAAGCGACATCGCGAGTTCATGAGGGCCTACAAGCAGCTGAAACTCAATGGTCGTCAGGCTCGAAAGACTCTACTCAACAGGGAGCTACAAAATGCGGCGGAGGCTGCTCACAGGCGGGACACTGGCCAACTTCATCGCATCATCCGCCGACTCGCCCCAAAGGTGAAACGGGATACTGTTCGTATTCATGGCCCCCAGGGTGAGATGCTTCGAGATGCTGATGAACATCAGACCATTGTCCGGCACTTTGAGGATCTCTTTCAGTCGCGCACTGCGGCTATCTCGTTTGCTGCTTCACATGCAGAACCTCCTCAGGGGGCTGTAAAGGATGTGGCTCTTGCTCTTCGCTCTACAAAGTATGGCAAGGCGGTGCCTGAGACTTCCGCCCCGTCCAGTGTCGTGAAGTACTGTGCTCATGTTCTGGCCCAGGCCCTCACGCCTGCGGTGAACGCCTGTCTGAGGGGGGCCCGTACTCCGCCCTTGCTTGCTGATTGTCTGTTGACCCTCATCCCTAAGCCTCTCAAGCCTGCCAAAAGACCCGAAAATTTAAGGCCGCTGGGGTTGCAAGATTGTACTGCTAAGGCTTACGCCAGGCTGATTGAGCAGTTGCTTCTTGATGAGGTTGGACCCACCTTAAAGAAGTTACTGGTCTTTGCACATATCCCCGGGCGAAGCACGGACGACGCGGTAGCAAGGGTGATTTCCCATTGCTCTTCAGTTCGGCGAGCCCACCAGCAGCAGCACTCCTCGGTGCACACACCCCGGCAGAAGTGCAGTCGTGCCTCGGTGTACGGAGGCCTGCAATTGGCCATAGATCTGTCAATAGCTTTTGATCTGGTACCTAGGGACACACTCCAAAAAGCATTGGAGTGGGCTGGTGCCAGTGGGCCTCTCGTCGCTGCTATTCTGGACCTGCATTCTGTTTGCCGATACACCATACGACATAAAAGCCACTCCTGCATGATACACATGCGACGAGTCCGACGAGGAGTCAGACAAGGATGTACGCTGGCCCCTCTCCTCTGGCTGGTCTTTAGTGCTTACATGGCATCTCGGCTTGCTCTGCAGCTTCCAGAAGAGTGGACACATGAGCATTTGACCTTGTATGCGGATGACACCCATGCCAGCTTTGA